TTTGCATGACATTCTGCCAAGCGGGCCTTTCGCGACACATCTCGGCATCATTCGAGCGCCCTTTCGCGCGCGCTGGGGGGCGCGACCCGCGTTAAATCATGCAATGCGGGCCGCCCTCGCGCATCGGCCGCGCGCGCGTGTCGGGCTCCTTCCAAAATCTTCATCGCCAACGCGAGGACGCCGTCATCGTCGTCGGCGTGATCAGCATCGGCGCCGTCACTGGTTGCGCCGTTGCCGTTGTCATCGTCGCCACAAGTTACTATCATCATCGCGCCTGCCGTTGTTGACGCTGCCGCGGTGCCGAGCCCGCTCAAGTGGCCGACTCGCACTGAAGTGCCCGCTGGGGAAAGCCCAACGGTCAGCGCTGCCGCGGCCGCGTCGGTCGCGCCAAAGTAGCGGGCCGCTGCGCGCGCGCCTGCGCGGGCTAGTGCGGCCGCAGATGTGCACCAGCCAACGCTGGGCGCTCATCGCAATCGCCGCCGCGTGCGATTTGCAAGACCAGTTGCGGGCGCGCGCGCGGGGTGATTGCGCGAGCGGTAGAACTGGCAACTGCGAGTTCCACGAGTAAGTACGCCTTAGAATCCAATCGATTATACCCCTTTCCCCTGGAGGTTACCCCTCTTTCGCACTGCAATGTGCGCGTGATTGTGCCCCATCGCCCCTCCTAAAGATGAGATCATAATCCCAGCTGAACAGGCGCCGACCCCTCCCTCATCCCCTGCAGAATTCTACTCGCGCGCCTGTTTATCACAAATCATTAATGTTCAAGAAGACCTTGCAAATCAATTGGGAGACGCGCGCGCGTTGTCGCGCGCGCGTGCCGGAATCCTTGGAAACAAACCATGGGTGTCGCAACGGTTTCAGCATCGAGCCCCTTGAAACCATAAACTAAACACATATGGTTTCGCAGCGACAGTTTCGAACGAGAAAAAGCCTGCGCTCGCGGCCTTGCGAATCCTCGAGAAGAGCCATCGGCATTTCAACATGTCAACTTAATTCTGCCAAGCGGGCCTCTCGCGCCGCTTGCCGAAGTCATTCGAACGCCCTTGCGCGCGCGCAGGGGGGCACGACCCGCGTCAGAAAATACCGCGCGGGCCACTCTCGCGCGTCGGCAGCGCGCGCGTGTCGAATTCCTTCCAAAACCTTCATCACCGACGCGTGAACGCCGTCATCGTCGTCGGCGCGATCAGCGTCGGCGCCGTCGCTGGCCGCGCCGTCGTCGCTGTCAACATCGTCGCCGACATCGTTGCTATCATCATGTCTACCGCTGTCGACTTTGCCATGGTACCGCGCCCCCCCCGAGACGCCGACTCGCACTGAAGTGCCCGTTGAAATGCGCCCAGCGGTCAGCGCCAGCGCGGCCGCGTCGGTCGCGCCGAACCAGCCGGCCGCTGCGCGCGCGCGCCTGCGCGGGCTGGCGCGGCCGCAGAGATGCACCAGCCAACGCGAAGCGCTCATCGCAATCGCTTCGCATGGGCTTTGCAAACCAAGTTGCGGGTGGGCGGGTGGGATGATTGCGCGAGCAGTGGACTTGATAACTTCAAGTTGAGCGCCGCATTGATTGCACCGCATCGAACGCGCCACATAGATTCTCCTCTCTAAGAAAAGATACAAGTCCACCTCCCCGAGGCCGTGATTAACCGCCTCCCCCAGGGATAAACAATTCAGATACGATTTTGACCCATCGTGTATTCGAGATATGAATTCGCACCACCCCAGCCAAACCATGATCGACACCCCCCACCATCCTCTGGCCACATACACAATGCGCGCGCACTTCTTCATCTCCAAATTATCCCGGCAAAGCAACCTAACAGCGATGTGTAGGAGCATATCTGGAAGCATTCCCCTTAAGATTCGGATGAGAATCCAGTTGTAGAATTCTGCTGTTCTCGCAGTCGTAGTCGCATTCGCGATGACAGTCGCAGTGGCACGGCAGTCGCAGTCACAGCCTCAGCCTCAGCCTGCCTCAGCCTCAGCCTGCCAGCCTCAGCCTCAGCCTCCTCAGCCTCAGCCTCAGCCTCAGCCTGCCTCAGCCTCAGCCTGCTTCAGCCTCAGCCTCAGCCTCAGCCTCCTCAGCCTCAGCCTCAGCCTCAGCCTCAGCCTCAGCCTCAGCCTCAGCCTCAGCCTCCTCAGCCTCAGCCTCAGCCTCAGCCTCAGCCTCAGCCTCAGCCTCAGCTCAGCCTCAGCCTCAGCCTCAGCCTCCTGCCTCAGCCTCAGCCTCAGCCTCAGCCTCAGCCTCAGCCTCAGCCTGCCTCAGCCTCAGCCCTCAGCCTCAGCCTCAGCCTCAGCCTGCCTCAGCTCAGCCTCAGCCTCAGCCTCAGCCTCAGCCTCAGCCTGCTTCAGCCTCAGCCTCAGTCTGCCTTCAGCCTCGGCCTCAGCCTCAGCCTGCCTCAGCCTCAGCCTGCATCAGCCTCAGCCTCAGCCTCAGCCTGCCTCAGCATCAGCCTGCCTCAGCCTCAGCCTCAGCCTGCCTCAGCCTCAGCCTCAGCCTGCTTCAGCCTCAGCCTCAGTCTGCCTTCAGCCTCGGCCTCAGCCTCAGCCTCAGCCTGCCTCAGCCTCAGCCTCAGCCTCAGCCTCAGCCTCAGCCTCAGCCTGCCTCAGCATTCAAAATGTGGCCCGGGAATGGAATTCTGGGAACTCGAAGAACACGAAGTGGCCTACAGTTGGCTCCGGGCATTCAAAATCATGCCCAGGAATGGAGTTCTGGGAACTCGAAGACCACGAAGTGGCCTACAGTTGGCTCCGGGCATTCAAAATGTGGCCCGGGAATGGAGTTCTGGGAACTCGAAGAGCACGAAGTGGCTTACAGTTGGCTCCGGGCATCCAAAATGTGGCCCGGGAATGGAGTTCTGGGAAGTCGAAGAGAACGAAGTGGCCTACAGTTGGCTCCGGGCATCCAAAATGTGGCCCGGGAGTAGAGTTCTGGGAAGTCGAAGAGCACGAAGTGGCCTACAGTTGGTTCCTGTTATTCAAAATGTGGCCTGGGAATGGAGTTCTGGGAGGTCGAAGAGCACGAAATGTGTGACTGTTGGCTTAAAACGAGCCCGGCTCTGTTCCCGGTTCTTTTCCCCGGCACCCGCCCAGACCCCCCTGTGGAGTCATCAGATGCTCTCTTTTGAGTCCACTAGAAACCTCTCGGCAAAAGCTGTTAGGTAAAAACTTTGTTCAATGATCCCTTGCAGAAGTCTGGGCGAAGTGCGCGCGCGCGCGCGTCGGCGCGCGCGACTGCTGGAATCCACGACAACTCCAGGCTGGCTAAAAGATTTCGAAATCGAGTGTTCCGAATGATTTTTCTGCCAAAACAGAGCAGCTGCTTCGCAACATGATGTTTCAAATAGAACCTGCGCTCGGTGAGACCGCGATGAAACTCGGGACGGACGATTGCAAAGGGGGGTTAGCAAATCGGCTCACTTAACTGATTTCCTCAGCGCCATTCCTGGCGCCAGCGGCGCTGGTGTACCGAGGAATGCGCCTGACGGCAGGGCCGAAACCAGCTGCATACACCGACTTTCGTATCCCCCAGAGAGCCGGAGCGCCCCCCCAAAAGGAAATCGGCATCGGTTGCGGCTCGTGCCCGGCGTGCGGGCGAGGCGGCCTGCGTGGGCGAGAGGGGACTGCCAGCCGCAACTGGGGGGTCGGACGCAAGGGGAGGTCAGTAAAAGGGGGATCGAACGGAACGAGGAGATCAGTAAAGGCGGAGTCAATGAACGGGAGGGGGTCGGACGAAGACAGGAGAGTTCAGGTTGGACGAACCAGGGGGCTCAGTAAAGTGGGTTAGCGAATGAGCTCGCATAGCTGATTTCCACGGCGCCTCCAGGCGGCCGAGGCGCCGACGCATCGAGGAACGTGCCCAGCGGCGGAGCCAAAACGAGCTGCACGCAGCAGGCTCCGCACCTCCCCGCGCCGGAGGCGCCAACGTATCGAGGAAAGCGCCTGGCGCCAGGGCCGAAAGTAGCTGCATGAAGCAGATTTCCAGAAGACCCCAGCCAGGACGGCCTCAACAGGCATCTTTTCCCTTTTCCTCCTCCTTCTCCTCCTCCTCCTCCTCGTCCTCCTTCTCCTCCCACTCCTCCTCCCTTCTCGTCTCCCGAGTGTTCCCCCAAGGGACTCCACAACGGCTAGGGGACACATGGTAGTCCAATAGCTTGGCAAGACTTTGGCCCAACGTTTGGCCGCATGGGCGTTTCCAAAAGGGAGGGGGCGGTGGTGGTCGGCCGTAGGCGTCTTCGATCCGCCCCCACCCCACCCTTGGCTTGCCACAGGAGTGATTGACATGCCAGACCCTTGAGCACTTTTTGCCCTTCCAGAAAACTCCGAATCGCCTCCAGCCCAACATGCCGGCCATCTGGACGGTCGTACAAAAGGTGCATCCCGTTTGGCTCTTCCGCCCAAAAAGGCTGCTAGACGGCCAACATAGCCTCCAAGATTCCCCAAATGGCTTCCAAAATGGCCCCAAGGGCCCAAGGTGGACTCGAGATGGCCCCAAGACGGCTCAAGAGGCCCCAAGACGGCCCAAGAGACCTCCAAGACGGCCCAAAAAGCGCCCTAAGAGGGCTCAGAGGAGCCCCCAAGACGGCCTCCGAAGGCGTCAGACGAGCCAGACTATTGCTCCAACACGGCGCCAGCCCCCAAAAGGCTCCTTTGAGGCCCCCAAGAGGCTTAGAGGAAGCTCGCCAGAGGCTTCAAACGGCCTACAAGAGGCCTCCGCCTCCTCGGTGGTTCGCCGCAGGCGTCTGCAATCCGCCGCCTGCCTAGCCTGTCGGAGGAAGTTTGACGTGCAGAGTTTTATGTCTCTTTTTGGCCAGTCCAAGAGGTTCCCAAAGGACCGGGATTCATTGGGGACGAGAGGGGGGAAAGGATGGGGAAGAAAGGGAAGAGAAGGAAGCGCAAGAGGCAGGGGCGGATCGGAGTTCAGAAAATGGCCAGTGGCGGGGGGCGGTAGACAGTGGAGAAGCGCGCTCCAACCATCGCAGGACTGCACAAGAGAAGAGAGCATCCTTGATGACGCACTGGGCCCCAGATTCGCCAGCACCTCGCACGAGCTTCCCGTCGGACATGGTCGCGGGCTTATCCTCCGCTCGACCCTCTGCCACAGGAGCTTCACGCTGACGGAAGGCGAGTGCGAGAGCGAGTGGAATACTTTGGACACATGTTTCCTTCTGGGAATGACTCAATCAGCTCTGGAAGGGTGCTCTTTGAATTCAATTCCAAACAATACTTAATCCAATCGTTTGGTCCCTCAGGATTCCCTTTGAACCGGGAGAGTTGAAAGGAATATAAGACCAGAGGGGGAGTGACGGGGAGTACAATAAGAAAGATCAGAAGGAACGGGAGAAGGAAAAGGAGGGGAGAACGAGTGAGGATGGAAACAGAGCGTGACACGCAGTTAGGCGTAACCGAGAGAAGTGAGGAGGAGGATGAGAGCAGATGGGAGAGGAGGAGGAGGCGGAGGAGGAGCAGGACGAGGAGGACGAGGAGGGCAGGAGAAGGAGGACGACGACCCAGGAGGAGTGGAGAGGGGCTGGTGAAAATACGCGAACCATCAAGAATTGAGAGACAGAGAACGACGAATAGAAAATACCCCAAACAGGCATGCGCAAGCGGCTACATGCGAACATCAATCCTTCTCGGTAAGCACGGCCGCCGCCCCCTTCAAGTCTATCATGGCCACCTCCCTCGCAACTTGACATCGCACTCCCACATTGCGGCACGCACGCGACATAACTATGGCCCGTGCTTGCAACACTCCAAAGCAATCCAACAACTCTACTGATCTTCGGTTTAGGTGGACATGACTCACAACCTTGCCCTTGCGACACCTGAACCTGTAAGTGGATCAGCTCCCCCCTGCTGCCGGATCTCCCATCTGCCCATGAGAGCCACCCGACAGGCTGGAGGACCAACACCGAGCATGGCGCCTAAATTGAGCCCGTACCCTATACAGAGCATGGCGGCTGAATTGAGCCTGTACCCTACACTACCAAACTCACGCATGCCACCCAAGCCTATGAGCTTCTAAAGGCCACATCGCCGCAGCAGTTCTGCTTCATCACGTCAAGAACCATATTTGTTGTATCAGCCAACATGTACTAAGTCTGAAGCACCCCTGCACGCTCACTTCTCAAAGTGGAAGCCGCTCACGACCAGCACCTTCAGCCACGTTCGGAGCTGCTGCGCAAAGTACTGCTGTCACATACGCGGTGACAAAGGATCTTGCCATCATACATATGGGGGGCTAACTTTGTTCGTCGATGTTCAAGCTTCCTAAGGTGTCCAAAGGTTGATGCTGGTCACCAGGGCCATGAGGCGATACGAAGTCTCCGCGGGACACCTGCTGGCAGGCTGGCTACTTACTTGATGTGCCTACTGTACTTGCAGATGGCCTACCTGCACGACGGGCCGGCCATCAACTTCCATCCATATGCCTACCCGCAAACGACTGCATCCTCGTCATGGCCGCACGCCGGCTTCATGTACATCGAGCTCCACTGCTTCTCCCTCCCCTTCCTCATCCTCTCTCTCTCTCTCTTTCTTCCCTCGTCTCTCCTCCCCTCTCACTTCTCCCACTGCCTCCCTGATACCTCATTCATCCTCCCTTCTCGCTCCTCTCTCCTCCCTCCTCCCTCCTGCTCTTTCCTCGCCGTTCCTCCTGCCGCTGCTCCCCCCTCACGCGAGATGTCGGGTTTCGGTATGTCTTCTTCGCGCCGCAGGACAGTCGCTACGGCCACGATTCCGCAGTCGGCTCTGCTGCCTACGGGAGAGGGCGGCACACGAAGATGTGCACGAGACAAGTTGCACAACGTTTCAAAGCCGACGATCTTCTTTTGGAGTGTTCAAATACTGGAGCGACGAAATGCTTCAGCGATCCGCAGGCCCTGGCCAGAGCCTGCTCGAACGTCTCACCTCTTCTGCTGGTCATTTCTTCCGAGCTGCCTGCTCCCAGGGCCTGGGCGAAGTTGGCGGCCATCGGCTCCTCTTCACAGCCCGTCCGCACGGTTTCCCGAGCCATCACTCGAGCCACAGAAGGTAAAACTTCGGCTTGGGGCGCGTCGATTTGTGGAAGACCGGTGTGTTGAGCTGGATTCGGGACGCCAGCACCTCGAGATGCACCAGGCCAGGAGCTCTGTGGCCCTTCAGCAGCTCAGGGAACTCCGCCTTCGTGATCATGGCAGCCTTGCGTAAACATGCGGTAGAGGACGTCTTCGTGCCTCCCATCCACCATCTCGCATACGGTGTGTATCAGCATCTGGTATGGCCCCCACCTCACTCTTGCGAGAGCAGCGAGCCATGGCCTGTGCGATACCGCATCTCTACAACGGACGCTGCCCCACCGCTCACCCTGCTTCAGAACATGGTCGAAGCATGCCACCCGTGCCTCCAGCTACTTACCACCATTCAGCAGGACGGGCAACAATCACAGCGCCTTTCGCCCGCGAGTGGCCCATCCTAGTTCGCAAGCTGATCCAGCCTTCGATTTCACGGAGGTGGTCGGATGTCCATGGCGCGCCGTGACCCTTCCGCACCCATCCCGTCCGAGAGCCATGCTTTCCGCACCCATCTTCTTCGTGCCGAGCCTGAAAAGCTCTTCATCGGCGGTCTGCGGGCCGGCGCCCTCGGTGCCCGATGCCTGTCCGCACACCCGCTCGCGCAACTCGCCGCTGCCGTTCGGACGCGCGTGGCCCTTCGGCACGACCGAGATGGGTGCGGATGTGCAGCCTCGGCCCTCTGAGGTGCCGCTCGGGAGCCCCAAAGCCCTTCGGCTCGTCTGGGTGGCTCGGCAGCTCCCAGGCCTCCACGAGGTGGCGGACAGTCGAGAGGGAGCCTCGTGGCCGCGGCGACTGCCGGCGCCTCGGCGACCCGAGCGAGCCTCGAGTTCAGCCAGGAGGGCCTCCAGAGCCAACGCAATCTGCTGCAGTCGAGAACTTTTGCCCCGCGTGTCGCAGCGGCGGCCCTGGCGACACGCTGTGCGCTGCGAGCGGATAGCGTGTCGCTCCGCTCCGCGGGGCAGGAAGCGGAGAAAGCAGGAAGAGGCGGAAGATGAGGAGGATGAGGAGGATGAGGAGGATGAGGAGAAGGGGGGAGGGAGCAGAGAGGAGGAGCGAGTAGTCGTTGGGAAGCGTGCCTTCCAGAGCACCGTGGTCAGAGACCTCGGAACGTTGACGCTCGGGGACCGCGAAGTGGAAAGCGTGTCGCGCGGGGGCGTGGTGGGCAAAAACCGGCGCGGAGCGACATGCTAAGCCAAAGTTCTAGACCGTAGATGTGTGCGCCAGGTGCTTCGGCGTTCGGCCAGCATCGGTACTGGGTATGCCCCAGTAAGTGCGCTCGTGCGTAGGGGTGTGCGCCCCGTCTGGGCACCTTGCCGCCAGAGCGCAGGATGAAGCCCGAGGCGCTGCCTGCTTCTCTTGACGAAGAAAAGCGGCATAAACATAAACGTTTGGAGCTCCGCGCGGATTTCTTGAATCGGCGCCATACCCCGCTCGCGCGCCAGGGGCGCCAGGGGGGCACAGCGTCGATCCAAAGAATCCGCGCGGACCGGCGAAAGTTGATGCTTATATGCTGTTTTTTTCCTCTTCGATCCCTGCTCCTGGCTCCGTGGGCTGATCCCCAAACGAGTGGGCAGCTCGGCTCCATGGTGCCGACTTGCTCCGCTCGTGCTGTCTTCCCTCCCGCTCCTCTCCTCAGGCAGGCCGCAGGGCCCTCGCGCACCGCCCGCAGCGGCAGCCTCTCTCCCCCCCCGCCGCACGCTTCCCCCTCTCCTGCTCCGCTCCACGCGCGAGGCCGCGGCGGGCGCGCCGGCAGGGCAAGGCAGGGCCGTCGTCGACGGCCCCTCGCAGGTGAGTGGGCTGTGGGGCGCACGCGCACGACCCACAGCGGCAGCCTCTCTCCTCTGCCGCAGGACCCACCCCCTCCTCGGCTCCCCTCCCAAGGCCGCGGCGAACGCGCTGGCAGGGCAGCGCAGGGCCGCCCTGGCGATCGCCGACGGCTGCTCCGAGGTGAGTGAGTGAGTGAGTGAGTGAGTGAGTGAGAAAGTGAGAGAGTGAGTGAGTGTCGCTGCGGCGGCCCTGGCGACACGCTGTGCGCTGCGAGCGGACAGCGTGTCGCTCCGCTCCGCGGGGCAGGAGGATTGGAAAGGCCCTGGAAGTTGACGCTGAAGACTGGGATTTGGATGCGAGCGTGTCGCGCCGGGGCGTGGTGGGCCAAAACCAGCGCGGAGCGACACGCTAAGCCAAAGTTCCTGACCGTAGTGCGTGAGCGAGTGAGTGAGGCTGGGGATCTCCTAAAGTCTGTATATGCCTCGGTGCTCTTCGGCGCAAAGGTCACGGCCCGGATGGAAGGCTACGGCCAGGATGCGGCCATGGATGAGGGCCTTCAAGGACGAGTGCTGAGGGCGCCACTGGGGGTGGCGGCTCCAGAAGGTCAGTGAGTGAGATCCGTCGCGAGGCGAGTCCAGATGGGCGAACTACGGACGCTTGCGGGCGAGGTTCTCGGCCTTGCTGAGATCCTTCGGCCATCGATCGGAGTTGGCACGACTGAACCACTCGCCTCGATCAGCATCCGTAGCCCTGAGGCATTCCTGGCCCAGGCTCCTCATCGTACTGCTGCGAAGGAGGGAAGCTCAACCAGCCAGCGTCCGAAGGCGTTCCCGCACCCAGACAGGATCGGTGTAGGATGGGCTCGCTTATGGCGGGCGCTCCGGGCTGTCGCGCTCCGTGTGTGTGTGTGTGTGTGTGGCACCGCTGCTCGCGCGATCTAGGCACTCTTTCGTGGACCGCCGATCTGGGTCCGACTTGGAGGAGGAGGGCAGGAGGAGGGAGGAGGAGGAGGAGGAGGAGGACCAGTGCAAGCCCAATACTCATCAACGATGTTGCCATGAACCCTCCTTCCAAGTTTCCCCTTCGAGGGCTCCTACAAGGATTTATCCTCACTGCGGGAAGAATCCCGTTGGAAGACAACAGTTTGAAAATCTTCAGAAGTGCCAAAGCACCAATCTGGGGACTTCAAGCTTCAACGACGCGAATGAACATTGACATTGCGGCCTGATGATCCGAAATCGTGCCATAACACCATTCCTGTGACGTCAACCCTTCGAATCAACGTGACTGTCGCGCCCTGACAGCCCTACATCTTGCCAAAACACCATCTCTGGAACGTCAACAAAACGAAAATTTGAAACTGTTGTAACTGTCAAGACGAATGTGCGCGGCGCTAACGCGAGAATCACATCTTGAAAACGACCCACCCTCCATCCGCAGACCTCCTGCAAGATGTCACAGCAAATGGGCGCGGCGCTGAGGCGAGAACCACACGCTGAAAACCACCCGCCCGCCGTCCGCGAAACCCACACTCGAACTTTCAAGACGACTGCACCGGGCGCCTTACCGCCCACCCTCCACGCGTGAAGCGCCCGCAACATGGTGAGCTTCAGGACCATACGCCGTGAAGAAGTCTCGAGCGAAACGCCCGGCCTGTCCTGCCGACCCGTCTCTGGGCGCGACAGGAAATACCTAGTCATGCAAAAAAAATGGAGCAGGGCAGGGGGAGGAGGGAGCAGGAGGACGAGGGACCAGTGTACAACCAAGACCCGTCAAAGATGTTGCAATAAACCCTCCCTCCAAGCTCCCTCTTCACAAGGAAATGCCACGTTTGAAAACAACCGCTTGAAAG